ATAAGTCATTGAAGCCCAGGAATTGATGAGTTGAAAGAAGACAGTGGAGGCACTGAATAAAGATACCAATAATTTGGGGGCTGGGGTTGTGGCTCAGCAGTAGAGTGCTTGCCTCACACATGTGAGGCACTGGGTTCGATCCTCAGCACCACATAAAAATAAATAAAGATATTGTGTCCATCTTTTAAAAAATATCAATAATTTGGTGGTGGTGGTGGTGGGGTAGTGATTCAAAAGTTGAGGAAATTTCTGGTTGATGACCTGAAAGGAGATGGTTAGATTGGTTCTGTTCCAAAGGATAAAATTTGCCCATAAAAGACTAGCGAGAAGACTTCCTGAGATCCAAGGCTGCAAGGGAATTTGGAATTTGAAAGTGAGTCTAGATGGAGCCTGCCTGTTGACATTTTGTAATCTGAAAACTCTGTGAATGAAGCTGTCCAGTATAATATTGACAAAAATTAACCCCTCCCTTTTTTAAAGAAAATGTATATTATGATACCATTTGTGTAAAATTTTATAAACCTCCAAAATTCAAGAGTATATAATATTCATGAACATACACTCAGTGGTAAAGACCCAAGAACTTAAATAAGAAGAACCCTTGCTAACTGCCAACTTCAGGATAATAGTTGTCAACAGTTGCCAGGGAAGGAAGGAGGGAAATGGAACAGGGAGAACATTAATTGTTTCTGCAGTGTTTTCTTTCTTTTTTAAAGAAATGATCTAAGGTAAAGATAGAAAATGTGAACAGCTGTTAAATACAGACAGTAGCTATCTGAGTTATGATGGTACCAACCTCACTGGGTCATTGTGAAGAATAAGTTAATCTGTCTAAAGTGCTTCTGACAGGACTCACACATTACTGCACCCAATATATCTGAACTATTGAAATCCACTTTTTTTTGCTTCTGTGCATTTCTTTATGTTTGAAGACTTCCTGAAAGTTTAGATATATGTTTGAAAACAAAATCAGTCATTCCATGGAAAAAGGCCACTATTCATTTCCAAGCAATTTTTGTTCCAGCAGGCTGATTGCTGTTATAGGGACAGTAGTGAAAAGTCATTCATTACAAGTCATTCCATCTAACTGTCATACCCCCATAGGAGTGGGAAAGGGAGGGTGTTGCAGATGCCTCGGAAGGAAAATACAACCAGCTAAGCAGTGGGCTTATCGCAATTTCCTGATGGGTTTCCCTTGGACTTCTTACAATGTTAAAATTGAACTTGATATGGAGCATCTTTGCCAGTTTGGATGAATTGTAATTTCAGGAAGCTCCCTTTTATGGCTAAGGAGTAAAAGCAACAGTGGTGAGAACATCAGTACACCCTCCAGCAGTAGCAGAACCAGCTAAACTACTTAGAGTCCTAGACTGACTGAGGATTCTGGGAAACGCCCTCTTCCTTGGAGAGGGCACAGGCACAATGCACAGAAACTGTAAAAGTAGTAGTAGAAAGCACCCAGGGGCAGTTGCACATGCGAGTAATCCAGCAGCTGTGGAAACTGAGCCAGGAGGGTCAAAAGTTTGAGGCCAGCTTCAGCAGTCCTAAACAAAACAAGCCATTGGAAAGTCAAGCTACCTCTTTGGACTAAGTCCGGCAAAGCTTCAGAGGACATTGGTGAGACAATGACATACTCCATAGAGGAGAAGTGATTCTTTGAAAATAACTGCATCCCAGGGCAGTCATCCTTGCTTCCCAGGTGAGGGCTTAGAATCAGAAGGACCAGGAAGACACAGTAGCCTTTGGAAAAGAGCATAAAGACCCTACAGAAAACTAGGAGACCTGAGTTCTGTTTATTCCCAAACCTGCTACTGAGGGGCTAGGAGATGTCAGACCAGTCATCTGGTTTGCTCACTTGCCAGCCTGCCTGCTTTTCCCTTCCTCCCTCCTTCCCCTCCATTTTCCATAAGGATAGAAAGTTAGATGATTCCTAAAGGGCCCTCCAGCTTTGACTCTTTTTAAAATGTTTTTTTTTTTTAATTTTTAGTTGTAGTTGCACACAATACCTTTACTTATATGTGGTGCTGAGGATCAAACCCAGGGCCTCACACATGCTAGGCAAGTGCTCTACCATTGAGCCCCAGCCCCAGCTCACCAGCTTTGACTTTAATGGTTATATACTCCCCAACATTTCTTTTCTTGTGGTACTGGGGGAATTAAACTCAGGGGTTCTCTACCACTGAGCCACATCCTCAGCCCTTTTTATTTTTTTAATTTTGAAACAGGGTCTTGCTAAGGTGCTGAGGCTGGCCTTGAACTTGTGATCCTCCTACCTCAGGCTCCAAAGACACTGGGATTAAAGGCGTGGGCCGTGGTACCTAGCCTGATGGCTCTGTTCTTACAGCAAACACTGCTCACTTTATCCATTGTAGCCCAGCTGAGAACTAAAACCTTGGGTAGATGGGAAATGGTCCTAATATATATCCAAGCATCTGTTTTGTTTTGTTTTTGGTACTGGGGGTTGAACCCAGGGGCACTTAACCACTGAGCCACATCCTTAGTCCTTTTTATTTTTTATTTAGAGACAGGGTCTCACTAAGTTGCGTAGGGCCTCCCTAACTTGCTGAGGCTGGCTTTGAACTTATGATCCTTCTGCCTCAGCCTCCCAAACTCCTGGGATTACAGGCATACTTCACTACATCCTGCTCTAAGCATCTGTTTCTTCAGTCTTAGAATAATCAAAGCAAACATGTGAAGACTACACACAATGAATATGGAGGTAAGGACAAGATAGGGGACAATGAAAAGCAAGAGAGGCACCCTCAAGGCCCAAGAGCTGAGGGGGTGCTTAGTTAAAATGGGGGGGGGGAGTATTACCAAGCTTGAGAGGAGAAAATGGGAAAATTTCTGGAAGGATATGATGGGGTTAAAGAGGGTTAGGTGGAGACTGGAGAGAGTGGTTGAACAGAGTCAGGTGGTTATTTCATTATTCCAACTTTACCTTCTCTCTGTCCGAAAGGATTTCAGGTACTTTATGAGGGCATGCAAACTCTGTCAAAATGGCATAAATTAAAGATAGAAAAACAAAAGAGGTGGGTGCAAAGTTCAGCCAATCATAAGGCTACCAATGCATACCATAAAAACCTCAGCTGCCACAAAGGGTGGGCCCAAAAGTTGTCTCTAAGCTTTCTAGCAGCCAACAGGAAAGGGGAAACCTTTTACAATGTCCAAGAGATAAAAACAAACTAATTGCTCAGAAGGGCAACTGTTTTCAGTACTAAGATCAGACAGGAATTCCTCTCAGGGTCCTCGGAGAGGATGCTGTGGGATACAATGAACAACATCCTTGACAACATCCTTACAATAGCGGTAGCAACAAGTTTCAAAGGGCTGTTTTTCATAAGGACCCTCAGGATCAACTGCCTGTATCCCACCACAGCCAAGCAATTAGAAGCTAAAAATAGCGTGTGAAGGTGCAGAATACTGTGTCTAGTATGTTCACATGGGTGGGAAAAAGAAGATTATATATAGGCATGCATATGCATAGAACCTCTCTGGAAGAATAAATTGGTAATAGTGGTTGCCCCTAGGGAGAGGAAGTGGAGGAGTGTGGCCTGGGAGAGCAGACAGAGAGACTTCCTTTCATCATATACCATTTTTATTCTGCATGGATGTTTGTTAACCATGGCTTATTTCTTAAAATAAGAGCATTGGTTACAGAAATAATAATGGCATTAGAGTTTCAGAGGATCAGTGGGGTTTGACCTCCAAGCCACAGCCAGGCTGGGTATATCCAAAATTTATCCTTGATGTTTAAGAAAAGAAGAAAAGTAACATTTATTAAGCAACTCCTGGATGCTAAGGGGCTTTTGTTCATATTATCTGACTTAATCCACACAACAATCCTGCAAGAGAAATCTACCTTATAAACAATCAACTCCTTTTCCTTAGAGAAGACACTGTTTTGTTTTATTCTATGATTGACTTTTGGGAGAAATGAGCAACTGGGAGGAAAATAAGCAGCTATAAGGAATTTAAGAAAAAGGGAACCTCCCCATGAACTATTTATTTAACTTAGCCTCTAGAATATTCTTCCTTCTCCTTGCCTGGGCTTGACCACAGGTTTTCAGCATGCAAACCCGGATGGTTTGCCAGGCTTCAGTCAGAAAATCAAGATTCACTCAAAATTAAGGTAGCCCAATAAAAACAATGATGCCAAGTTAAATATTAATCTCAGAAAAAAATAATTAGCATAAGTATGCCCCAAATGTTGCATGGCTTCATTACTGCCTGGTGGCAATGAAAATCTCAGGTTTCTACTAGGCCTTTTCTGAAAACTAGTGGGGGTTGTATGGGGACACCTCCTTACAGCCTGGCTGGAGAGGAAATCTAGCTTTCCCACTCCATCCCTGCTGATGTGGATGGGGTGGAGCCAGTTTTCTTTGTGATGTTTGGCTGTACTAGAGCAGTATTGTCTAAAAGTTTTATGTCTTGCTAGGTTGCCTCTTTCCTGGTCCTTTGCCTAGAGAGAGTTTGGATTTTTCTAGAGCTTAAAAAAAAATCTCTGCCTATTGACATTTTTGGGTTGGCAGATTCTCTAGCACCCAGGCCCAGGATATATGAGGCAAAAAGAAACCTGGGGAATCCAATACCATGTTGTTTCTCAGGTTCTGAAGTTCCTAGTTGGCCCATTTCCCCCTCCATCCTAAAAAGTCTTACTAAGTTTTTTGAAAAATATATGATGTCTATGGTTGTTATCTGACATCCCATATTTTAATTTTCTAAATCTGG